GGTAGGACGCCATTCCTATTAGGTTGGAGGCCATCATTAGTAGGTAGCAGGCCGTCGCTCTTAGGTTGGAGGCCATTGCTGTTGGGTTGGAGGCCATTCGTATTAGGTTGGAGGCCACTGACAGCCACTGCTATTAGTGTTGGAGGCCATTGCTATTAGGTTCTGGGTCAGCTGAGGGCGGCTTAGCTCAGACCACAACATTGATCGACGCTGGGACGCAGCAGTGAAGCGGCCGTTCAGTGCCTAAGCAGCAGTTACTGCAGTTACTGCAATCGCAGGCAGTCTATATCCTTCATAAACTCGGAATCATGTGAAAAGGAATGTTTTTAACTTTTGTTCTCCATTTCTTTTCTTTTGTTTTTTTTTTAAAGTTATTCTTCGTCTACTACTACTACTACTACTTCTTCTTCTTCCTTCATGTGTGTGTGAGTGTTTTGATGCTATTTTATTTGGACGTTTCTTTTTCATTTTCTAGACCTTATGTGTTTTCCCTATTTCATCAATGTCCTTTGAAGAAAGACAAGAAAGAGAAGACAAACACAGAAACTACTCTGAAAAAAGAACATGTGTTTTCTCGCTTCGCCGCTTCGTATACTTTCGTTCTTCGTTCTTTCCTTTGTTTCTTCGTTTTCCGGCAGTGAAGTTCACTGAGATCTTTGGAAGATGCTCGCTTCCATGGAGCACAAATCAGAAGCTGGCGTAGCCAAAAGGCGAGGCGCGCAAACCACGAGCACGAAATTTGTGGCAAATTATGTAATGTGTTTACACATTCATTGGTCATTGTTTATCACGCTTTTCGTAGTGTTGCAAATGCTTGAAAATATGGGTATAGTCGGTATAGTGCATATCGTTAGTCTTCACATCAGTCTGTGTAAAAGAGGAATGTCCTGGGATCCCATCGTCAGATTCTTGAATGCTGTGAGGCTGCGCATGGCGGGCGCCTTGAACAAGCAGGGCCGGCTGTTGTACTTTTACGGACTAGGCATCTCGACGGTTCTTGTGGTATTTTCATAGAGCTTCCATCTCTGAGCCAGCTATGCCAATTCTTTCGAGGTAGTTCTGCAACGGAGTAATGTCAACTGTGCAGCTTGCGGTCGAAGACCTGTGCATGCCAAGTATGACCACATGAGGCCTTAGGAAGCAAATACAGCCACACGCTTCATTCAGGCATTGCTCTTGCATCCAACAATAATAACCACGACGAGTACAAGTTCGAGGCTGGGGAAAAAGATATCATGCCCAAGCCAATAGCAATGGCCTCCAACCTTCTAGCAATGGCCTCCAACTGGCCTCCTAGCAATGGCCTCCAACCTATAGTAGCGATGGCCTCCAACCTAGAAGCGATGGCCTCCAACCTAAGTGCATGGCCGCCAACCTAGAAGCGATGGCCTCCAACCTACTAGCGATGGCTTCCAACCTAAGAGCGATGGCTTTCAACCTGATAGCGATGACTCACTAATCACGAAAGCGATCTCCGAAGGAGGTCAGCTGAAGTTCTAGTTTACGATTAGATGGGTCAAAATCGAAGGGATCAATTGAAAAATCACTACAAACGGCCCCCCCCCCCACCCCCCGCTTCGTGTGAAGTGAATCAATAGGTTCCCCCCTCCCCCTCCCTTAACGAATTGAAGCGGTACTGATTAACGGAGGGCCCCCCGCCAAGGGACACGACATCACAAACATCATCTCAGGGGA